TTCATTGTTTCTATATTCTATTAAAACAGGTTCCACAGTTTAATCTCAAATGCTATTTAATTAATAATGTTGCAGATAACATATTTATCTCTTAGAAGGGAGTAATTTTTTTTTCCACAGATGGTGACACAGACAATCAGGAGCCAAAGTTTAAATCTTTGGGCATCCACTGTGTCTGTAACAACACACATTACAGAGAAAGCAGGAGACACAAACACAAGTGAAAAACCCCCAGCTGCCTTCAGACTGCGAAGAAACTTTACTAAAGCAGTAAAATGCTGGTAAAGATGCTATGAAAAGAATCCAGTGCTTGAGAAAACCACTAAATTCATTGTTTTACTGATAAAATAAACCCAGACCAGACCACTGGGATAATCTACTTCAGTTTTCCAAAGGATACTCTGACTTCAGTCCTTCTGCCTTTCAACAGACTGTTCAGAACCACTTCCACAAAGATATCTAAGTGTTTAAGTCTGATTAAAACTCCCAGACTTCCCAGACACTTAAAAAAACCAAACTAAAATTAATAAACAAACTTGGAATCACCTTAATTTTGTCTCCAGGCTTTTCACTAAATCACAAATATCTCCTTTAAGTGATTCACTTTTAAATAAGAGACAGAACATGATTATTCCCTTCTGACTATTTCCTTTAGTCCTAAATGATCTACTGAATATTGTTTTCGGCACTGCCTGGGAACAAATTAAGAGGCCCCAAGAAGTTAAGATATGCAGAGCTGATACTTAGCTGACCTCTTCATCTACTTCAGAGCAAAGTTTTACTTGCTGTGACAGTGTAGCTGAAACAGGAAAAGATTCTGATCAATGCATTTCTAAAAAAAAGTGCCAGTGAAACTGTATTTAACAGCATTACAGCTGGGAAACTGTTGAGGCTACTCATGAATATTAAAACTCGACAACATTAAAAAAAATGAAAGAAGGTGCAAGGTAAATGCTTCTTTTAGTCTTACCTGGATCTGTGATTTCCCCACGGTTCAGGGTACGGAATGGCAACTTAAAATCGTCCCCTGGGCATTTGTTAAAACCCTGCACAAATTTTAAAACGAGCTTCTTACGGGTAGGTTTGCAAAGAAGGATTATAAAATCCAGAAGAAAAGAAAAGTACAGCTAACGTGGAAACAGAATTTTTCATTAAGGAAGCAAGTGACTACAGTTTTCAAAGCCCAAGGTGTTGGTAAATGCCTCTGGAACTCGCTTGCTTCTTAATTCACAGTGGGTTATCAAACTGTTGGTCTGCTGTAGTTTGCTTTATAGGCTGAGGCCAAAGGCCAAGCTTTTGATGCAGAGCCCTCAGCAGCTCTTGCCTGTCAGTGCACGGGTGCATGGTACAGGACTCAGGAAGCAAAATTATTTCTTTGAAGGTCAGTAGCTGATATTTGTTTTTTGCTTTACTTCCCAGGGCAGCTCTAAACCACACGTGATTACGTTCTAGCACGAAAATGTCCTTTTACAAGGTTTTTAGGAACAGAAACGCATCTCCTGTTAGAGCATCCCATTTGAATCTAAACAGATTTCGAAAGGAGCCTCGACATGAAAGAAACAACTCGTTGAATTCACATAATTCAGTGTGGTAACTAAACATTTTCACTGCGCCCTCGATCTGGCGAGAGCAAAACACCAAAGCCCCCGTGAGCACCCGAGTGGAGGCACTGCTCACTCACTGTGCTGAATTACTCACGTCAAACGTGGATTTATCACCAGTGATGTACCGCTACAGTTCAGAGCAGATGCCCAAGAAGGTGATTCCCTTCAGTTTTGATAGCAAACAACAGCAAGAGTTTTGAAATAGAAACTGAAGATGTTTTCCCCTAGCACCAATCTTAGCTGCCTATATATAATATTGAGTTTAGCGCACGGGCTTTCCCAACACGTGTGTGTGTATTTGTGCGTGTGTTTGCTCCAATTCAGGGCTCTGCTGGGGGACTCCCCGCACAGAGCACCGTCCCCGTGTCTCCGGGGAGGGTCCCCTGCGCTCTCCCACCGCCCCCTCCTCAGCCACGGCCTCCAGAGAGCAGCACAAACCCCACAGCCCCGACACAGCCGAGCGCCCACCTGGCTTCTGACCGCAGGCAGCTGCCCAGAGCTCAGACGCGGCGGCACGAACAGCTTAAACTGCTTGTCTTTCTCCATGGCCTCGGAGGAAAAGGGGACGGGCGGGCGGGCAGCCCCTTTCCCCGGGGGGGGCCGCTGAGGGGAACGGGGATAAAAAGGGCGGGAAGCCCTGAGGGCCCCTCAGAGCAGCGCGGGGGGCGCCGCCCAGCGGAGCTGCGGCCGCTCGGGCTGAGGGGCCCGGCCGGGAACGGCCCCCGGCGCTCGATAAAAGGGCGATGAAAAATATAAAAATATCAAGCAATAACACAAGGTTGTGGCCTTAGCTGCGTACTAGCTAATTTTTTAGGTGGAATCGGGATAGGGCCTTGCTTGCTCATGCTGACTCACAGGCGGGATATAGTTAATTTTAGAGTGAAGACTTTAGCGGGAACAGAAAACCTTAGAGTTTGGATAAGGGGCTTTGAAGCTCGCGAGAAAGAGAGCTTGAAAGCTGATAAAGAGAAGCTCCTGAAGAAGACACCAGTTTTGAGCTAAGCGGACAGTGCCGACTCAGCAGTTCCCAGCAAAGGCAGAAAGTTCAAGCCGAGGAAGATTTCTTTCTTCACCCAAAAGACACCCCCGAAAGAAAACCCCAAGGGGGGAGTTCCAAGGCGCAGTTACAGGAGTGGTGGATGTTAACGATTCCCCCTCCCACTCGCCTGGAATTTGCTGACACAGCTAATGCATAGGTAACACAACTAATGTGTGTGTAAATGTAACGTTACACTGCACGGAAAGAGCTGAACAAAGGCAGTGGGTGTGCGTGACCGGAGGGATCACCCGTGAATAAACACCCCTGCTGCAACGCTCCTGGTGAGTTTTGGGGTTCGTTTCGGCGAGTCACGCCGCGGGAGGGGGTCCGGCGTGGTCGTGGCCACCAGAAGGGTCTCTGGGGTGGCCCCCGGGTGGGAATTGTCGCCGTGGTCGCCGGCTGAGGGGGGGACACACAGCAGGGTCTTCGCAGCCGCGGGGGGGGGAGAGGGAGA